AGTGACTATAAAAGCCACCGACCGAGAGCAGTCCCAGGGATCACAGCTGGTGTGTTTGACGTGTTCTTTGGTGTGCGGGGAGCTTACCACAGGCTTCATTTTGACTTTTGAGCTGGTGGAATAAATTTGTGGTACTGCTGCCTTTTGTGGCATAGTTTTATGGCATGTTTTGAAAAATACTGCATTTTGTTGGACATACAAACGACAGCGAGTCTCATTCCTTCGCTCATCTGAGACTTCTGCTGTCCCTGTCCGGCAGCATAGAAACACGCCTGCTCGGCGCGTTCCAGCCGGGAGACATGTTTCCAGTTGGCAGGTGTGAATAAATGATGCATTTGCAGCCTGTGGTAGGAAAACAACCTCACAGTGAATTACATGCAGGCAGCTTTTACGATGCAACCATTTAACCCATGTACATGGAAAAACTCAGAATACATCGAGTATATTCGATATATCGCCCGCCCCTACCCGAGGGTTGTTAGGTTGGACGCTGATTATTGATATTACCATCTACACCATCACGTCTTGTTTTCAGCAGCACAAAAGTGTTGCATCAAAGCACAGGGCAAACTTGAGAATGCTAATATGTTTGCTTTCCTTCATTGCAGACACGCTTGGTCTTTTAAAGGTTTACAGACACAAACTCACTCGCTCGTCCCATCAATCGTCCCTTCAAGGCGGTGAATCGCCCGTTTAACGAACTAGTGAAACGGCCCCAAAGCATAATCTGTCAGTGCCATCAACTCCTACGGTGCTTTACCAGCTCCTTTTTTTTTCAAGCAGTTTTGAATGTATTGGGAGAGAGAATAACAATCATTGACTCCGTATATAGAAATAATAATCATTGCATTAATATAAGGACTCACAAATGTCAGCAGATTTGTGAAGGCCGATTGCTGAAATGATTGAATGGACATAAGAGAATGTAGTGCACTGGGAAAGTATTCCAGGTGTGTTGCTAGCAGCCTGGACAGCCACAGATGGTCCCACAGCCACTCTGTGCTTAGGTGGTTCCTGGTTTGACACTTGGCATTCAAGTTCGGTCTTTGTTTGATCAGACCAGAGAATTTTCCCAAGTCCTTCAGGTGCTTTTTTGGCACTCCAGGTGTCTTTCACCTCTTACAGAGTCCCTTCTGTCAGGTGACTTTACCATGCAGGCCTAATTCTCGTAGTGCTGCAGAAATGGTTGTCCTTTGCAAGGTTCTGCTGGAGCTCTGTCAGCGTGACCATCAGGTCTCTGTCCCCTGCCTGACTAAGGCCCTCATACCGTGACTGCTCAGATTGGCAGGGCGGCCACCTCTAAGAAGAGTCCAGGTGGTTCCAAACTTCTTCCACGGAGGCCAGTGTGCTAACTTCAAGCTGCAACAAGTTTTATGTACCATTCCCCAGTCTATTTCTCCCGCGCACACTCTGCTTGTTGATGTCATTTCGTATGTTGTAAAGTAAAATGTACCGAGGCTTCAGCACGGTGGTGACTGCATCAATCTGCTTAAATCCTCAGACACAATGGCGAGTCCAGGGAAAGACAACTACAGGATGAAGAGCTATAAGAACAAAGCGCTGAATCCTCAGGAAATGCGTCGAAGGAGAGAAGAGGAAGGAATTCAGCTACGCAAACAAAAAAGAGAGGAGCAGGTGATCTTTGCTAACGTTTGGTGTATAAAATGGAATTAAGCTAACAGAGTTCAACACGTGTGAGGGACTGTTATGGTCCTGTTAGCACCTGCTGTGTTTTTCCTATCAGGGTGTGAGTTCTGCTCTCCTGCCTTTGCTACCAGCTAACTGCACTCAGCAACTGGGGCTCAAGTTCCCATTAAAGAGTTGTGTCCATGTGGCTTCTTGCTCACTCTGTGTCTGTGTGTTTGCTTAACATTGATTTTGCTGAGCTTTTGTTTTTTGACTGGTTTGTGTTTCTCTCTTTACTTTGGTCCTGATTCTTCTCCGTCTCCATTTTCAGTCTGGACTTCTTTACAATATTCAGGCTGCATCTCTGCTCCGATCACCGCCGTCTCCTGCAGCCTTTCATTTGTGCGTCTGTGCATTTATTTAATGTGTGTCTGTATGACTGCAGCTGTTCAAGAGAAGAAATGTCTGCATACCTTCAGCTGATGACTCCATGCAGGAATGTCCGATCCAAGATCCAGACATCAGCTCCACAGTACCCATCACAGCTGTAAGTGTAAGCTGCCTCTCTCCTGTAGGTTTGCTGTGCTGTAGTCTGAACTAAACATGAACTCTCTGATGCGTTTGTGCAGGATGGAGTCATAACAGCAGATATGATTCAGATGATCTTTTCTGAAGACCCCGACCATCAACTAATTGCTACACAGAAATTCAGAAAATTGCTTTCCAAAGGTGTGTCTCTGTGACGTTTAATGGAAGATTCGTGTTTCTGTAGTCGGTTTACTAACAGAGAAATAACTGTTTGGACCAAAGTTGAACAGAGAAGCTGCCAAGTTATTTTATTCTGCTTCCACCTGGCTGTCAACAACAGACTCTGCTCTGTGTGCAGCTTCTGCAACGCCTCGTTTCTACCGGCGCAGTGCTGCCTCGGTATCAAAATACTAAAGTAATCATTTCCCACAACTTCATCAATGTTGCACCACACCTGTGCTGGCTTACACAACAGAGATTAAACCAAGAGAAACACAAAATGACCTGAAAAAGAAATCTTGCTCTTTGAGGTGTTTTTCTGCAGAACACAAATTGAATTGGTTTTGTGAAACAGCCTGTTGCTCTGTCTGTGAAATGCCTTTGACCCTTTAGCAGGTTTGTGCTCAAAGTGTTCACTTGTTTCTTTTGCACAGAACCCAGCCCCCCCATAGATGAAGTGATTTCCACTCCTGGTGTTGTGACTCGGTTTGTGGATTTCCTGCAGCGGAGTGAAAACTGCACACTGCAGGTCAGAGAATCCAACACTGTACACCTGAGAGTATCAGGACATCTGGATGTCTCACTATCAGATAACAGATGTGTTCCTGTGTCACGTGTTCACCTCAGCAGACGTCTACAGTCAGATTATTGCTCGTATTTCATTTATTGTTTCATTTTGTCCTTTTCTCATTTCTTATTAATCTCAAAGCGAGTGGGTGACATGGTGCTTCACAGGGCAGCAATTTACATGTTGCTTTGTTATGAGTCATATTTATATGTATTTAATAATAATAGCTAGAATGTTGAAATGATTGGTAGGAGTTGCACAGCTATTGTGAGCATTGAACCTCCAGTTGTATCGGGTAAAACTGTTGTTGTTGTCATATTGTCCACGGTGTGCTCGTAACAGTTCGAAGCGGCCTGGGCACTGACCAACATCGCCTCTGGGACCTTCTTGCACACCAAGGTTGTGATTGAAACAGGAGCTGTTCCCATTTTCATTGAACTGCTGAACTCCGAGTACGAGGATGTGCAGGAACAGGTGAGAGTCACATGATAACACCTGCTTAGTTACAGGTAATCTGCTCATCTATAGTGAGTGAGTTGAGATGTTGAGCTTTTCTAACAGTTTCAGGACTTTTGAGAGGCACAAACCTGAATGTGTGTAAACTGCTGTGGTAGTGTTTGACAGGACGAGTTTTAGTGTCAAAGGCTGTGACGTAGTTGAAGCATGTTGGCTGTTTTCCAGGCAGTGTGGGCACTGGGGAACATAGCGGGCGACAACGCTGAGTGCAGAGACTACGTACTCAACTGTGGCATCCTCCCGTCTTTACAGCAGTAAGTGTTCGTCGTCTGTCTGCGTTTGTGTGTCAGAGCTGCACTAACAGCTGGCTCTGCTCTGTGCAGGCTGCTCGCTAAATCCAACCGTCTCACAACAACCCGAAATGCAGTGTGGGCTCTGTCCAACCTGTGCAGAGGGAAAAACCCACCACCAGATTTTGCAAAGGTCAGCCCCGTCATTGTTGTTGAGTCACTGAATACTGGAGCTCATTCGCCTTCCTCCTCCTTAAAGTCATGTTTCCTGTACTGATCATGTGGTTCCAATATTAAATTGTCCCCTTGTCTGTGTTATTTTGTCAGGTGTCTCCTTGTCTCAACGTTTTGTCCAGGCTGCTGTTCAGCAGTGATCCAGATGTGCTGGCCGATGCGTGTTGGGCTCTCTCCTACCTGTCTGACGGCCCCAATGAAAAGATCCAGACGGTCATCGACTCCGGGGTCTGCCGCAGGCTCGTTGAGCTGCTCATGTACGACACTGACATACTCCTTGGTTGTTGTCGGTTTTTGCACATTTATTGAACTTAAATGAAAATTCTCCCTAAAAGTAAGAGCTGATTGTGCTGTGACAAGCTTTGAGTGTTCCACGTAGCTGTGAAGCAGTTTCAGCCCCCTGTTCTTTGCAGAATTAAAGGGCTGTTGAGCCAAAACGTAACGTTGGATTGGATTTAAGTGTCATGAGTGTAGCTGAGTTTCCAGTACGAACTGGCTGGACATGGTCCTTCACAATTTTCTGGGAGACAGCTGAAATGATTCTTGTGTCAGTCATGGGGAACACTGGCCATTTGCCCAGTTGGGTTAATTGAAGGGACGCTCCACACCAGCCCTGTAAGTGCTGACACGAGCCCATTCGTTCATTTTCATTGCTGATGCTGTATTGCCCAATCAACACACTTAAGTGCCACAAAGTAAATAAACGGCAGACGAAAATGACGCAGACCGAATCATCAGCACGCGAGCATGAGCGTTTTCAGTGGGGATGAAAACAATAGTGTGGACGCGGAGACCAAAAGGCTGTTTTCAAGTTTATCCAGGTTGGTGTAGCTGAGAGGATTATTCCTGTGTATAGTGAAGGGGGCATGTTGAGTGCTGGGTATCGGCTTGGACTGAGAGCAGGTCAGATCGGGGGTGGTGACACTTAAAGGCAGCCAAAAGAAGAAAACTGAAACATTAATAAACGAAGTACTGTGGTGAATAAAAACTGCTGTTGGGTGGTGCTGGATTTAAAAAGAAAGGATCAGCGTGTTGAACAGAAATGTTGGATTAACAGTCGGCGGTATTAGTTTCCCTTGCAATGAGCCTATTCATGCACAGTGTCTAAGCTCCAGCTTTCAGTCCTTTGAGTTTCTTATTGGTGCTATGAAACTTCCAGAGTCACAGGTTCTTTTCTGATATTTTCTTGTCTGAGAGCGTCTGCTCTGTTCGTCTGTTTTCTTTGGGAGACGCAGCGTCCAGAAGAACACAATCAGCTTCCTCTGATTTCGTTCCCTGGACCATTTGAAGCATCAAACGTTGTTTTCTTTTGATGGCGTAACATTGTTGCACAAAGAATCTGTCGTTTCTGATCCCGTCCACGCTTTGCACGTCTCACTGTGTGCCTCCTGTTTGCAGGCACGGCGACTACAAGGTTGTTTCTCCTGCCTTGCGTGCAGTGGGAAACATCGTGACAGGAGACGACATCCAGACTCAGGTACAGCCTCTGTTTCTTCCATCGGTGCTGCTTGGCCTTTTCTCATTGACAGCATTAAGATCTTTGGCTCCTCTGCTTTCGTCTCAGGTAATCTTGAACTGCTCAGCACTGCCGTGTTTGCTCCACCTTCTCAGCAGCCCTAAGGAATCCATCAAGAAGGAGGCCTGCTGGACTGTGTCCAACATCACCGCAGGAAACCGAGCTCAGATTCAGGTATTCTGCTGCGGCGTCTCCGTTTGTCGTGGCGAGATGAAGAGCTGCTGTTCTTTGCTGCTGACCACATTTTTCTGTTTTTGTCAGAACGTCATTGACGCCAACATCTTTCCAGTACTGATCGAGATCCTTCAGAAGGCCGAGTTCCGCACAAGAAAGGAGGCTGCGTGGGCAATTACCAACGCCACCTCTGGGGGCACTCCCTCACAGATAAAGTGTGTTTACCAGACGTCTTAAAAACACTTGATGTGAAGATTCCTCCTTACGTAGTTCTGGTGCCGTGTTTCCCACAGATACAAACTTGAGTCACAGTTCAGTGCGAGTAGTTGCACCATGTGATGAGTCATTAAAATCCACCAATGTTAGCTGAGCACTGCTTCAGATGGTGCACCACACTCTTTCCTACAAACACCACATGGATGTTAATGTGACTCATTCAGACTGTTAAATCCACAGCGCTGGTTTCATTTTACATGTTCATATATTTGGTTTGTCAGATTTCACTGTGCTGGGACTTCTCTGCACATTTGCACAGCAGGAATTGGTGGAAATCCAAAAATCAGTCGAGCTTTATAAACAAAGTGAAATGCTGCTGAGGACTAACGTCTGTGCTTTCCGTGACAGGTATCTGGTGTCCCTGAATGCCATCAAACCTATGTGCGATCTGCTGACAGTGATGGACTCTAAGATTGTTCAGGTGTCACTGAACGGTTTAGAGAACATCCTCAGACTGGGAGAACAGGAAGCCAAACAGAATGGAACTGGCATCAATCCGTACTGCGCTCTGATTGAGGAAGCTTACGGTAATGCTCGCAAACCACCAACAGAACATTCACGAGCTTTCATTCACTCAGAAAAGTGGACACGTTCTTTCCACGTTCTTTCGTGTCGCGTTTGGTTCCACACCCACCGAGTGTTCACTGCACCTCGGTGGGGTTGCTTCTTTCTCGGCACTTCTTTGTAACCGAGCGTGTTTGCAAGAACGTCTAAGTTTAAAAAAGTGTCAAATAAAAGTGAAAGCTTTGTTTAGGAAGTTTGTACGTGAGGGCAGAAGGCAAAGTTTGGACATTTTAAGAATCACAAGCTTTATAGGCATGTTGGTATTTTTGTCTCTCACACACACACACACACACAC